AGCAGAGCTGCTCCCCAGCCAGTCAGTCCCCACCCTGTACTACCGCAGTGGGTTAGTCCATCCCAGGTGCAGGACTTTGCATTTGTCCTTGCTGAATTTCATGAGGTTCCTGTTGGCCACATTCCTCCAGCTGGTATGCCCTCTGAATGCAGCCCTGCTTTGAGAGTATTGACTGGTCTCCCTCATTTGATGTCATTCACAAACTGGCAGGTGCGTTCTGTCTCCTCTAGGTCATTCATAAAGATATTAAACTGGACCGGTCTCAGGACAGACCCCTGCCATACTCGGCTTGTAAGCGACCTCCAGGGAGAGTATGAACCACGAGCCTTTGAGCCCAATGATCCAACAGTTTTTTCACCAGTCTGGTAGTCCGCCAGTCTAGACCGTAACATCCCAGTACAAGGATGCTGTGGGAGGCAATGTCAAAAGCCTCGATAAAGTCAAGATAAGCAACATCCACTTCTCTCCCTTCATCCACAGATCCAGTCATTTTATCGTAGAGGGCAATGAGGGTAGTCAAGCCTGACTTACCATTGGTAAATCCACCTTCTTCTTCATGTGCCCAGAAATATATTTCAAGAGGATTTGCTCCATGGTTTTCCCACAGACCAAAGTGAGGCTGACCAGTTGGTAGTTCTGTGGATTGTCCATCTTGCCCTTTTTGAAGACTGATGCAACACTTACCTTTCTTCAGTCATCCCTTTCCCCCAGTCTGTACAACTTTTCAAAGATGATGGAGAGTCACCTTGCAGTGATATCAGCCAGCTCTCTCATTTATACATCAGCTGGTGACAGTGCTGCAGCTGAAGATCCTGCCGGACTTTTTCCTATTTACGTGCTTAGTGAAGATGGCACAGTCAAATTTGGCAAAGGGTGCAGCAGAATTAAATCCATTCCCTTCACTCTCATCAGTTATTTAGGCCCAACCAAGTTAAAAACAAAAAACCAAAAACAACAAAAAACATTTTAGAGCCTATAAAGCAGCTGGGTGCAATGAGTCAGCTGTTCTGTTCTTATTGCATCTATCTACTGTCTTCCCAAAGGGACAAGTACTGTGTTTAGTTCCTGAATAGGATGTTGTTTCTTTGTCAGCAGTATTTAACTGCCTGGATGAATAGCACCCTCAAAGTGTTGGAAATCTGTTAACCATATTCCTGTTCATCCAGCAAAAGCTCTTATATAGGAGCAGGATCAGAGGGTCTCAAAGCTGCTTCGGATTTTGCTGTTTAGAGACTTTACGAGGTGCAAGTTGTGAATCCAGTTGAAATATGTTCTACTAAAGCTGTGTGGGGTATTGGCCATTAACGGTGCATTACTTATGAGGATAGTACTTCCAGGATCAACACTATCAACTAGAGACAGTGCAGTACCATTGTGCCTGGAGAAGACTACAGGTCAGTCCGCTCAGTTGCTTCTTCCCCAAGATTGTCTCTCCAGTGACTCCTTCCCTTATGTGATGTAATGAGTGCAAAATAGATCTTCTCTTCCTGATACTTGCACCAGTGAGAAGAAAAGAGGAAGTGTAATAATTTCAGTCTGTTTCTGCTGATACAGTTCAGCCTACGGGCCTAGAGGCAGTGGTGACATCAGGGACTTCAGAGCTATTGAATCTTACTTTATGTAGGTTCAGAGTGCTGCAAAATGATGAGAGAGTTGTTTCAGCTGTTATGGGCTGGAATAACCATGGTGGCCTGCAGGCTCAGCTAAGTCAGGGCAGACATTGGGGATTCCAACTAAGGAAGTGTTCAAAATCAAGGAGCCTCTTATGTGAGACACGCTGTCCATATGGGCCAAGCCCTCCACAAAGCGGATCTCGCATATTTTAGATAGGGGCAGATGTCCCAGGTGCAGAGTCAACTATGTCAGACAAGCTACCAAAAAACCCACCTCCTCTGATACTTTCAACCTGAATATGCAACATCAAACCAATATTTAGTACACCAATTTGCAAGGTGGGAGGAGGGGCAGAAATGCAGCTACTTGCCCCCAATTCCTATTAATGGAAGTTAACTTCCCTCATTATCCCCTTTCCTCTCTCTTGTCCCTGGAGTATGGAGGAAAATTCAGCGGAAGGTTCTGGATGTTCCATCAGAAGCCAAGGTGTGAATCGGATAGTAAGTTTGGAGTCCTCCCAGGACAAGATGAAGCCTACTCAAAGGTGCCTGCACTGTCTCTCTTTTGAGGACAGATGTTTGGAATTTTTCAGCAGTGCTGAAGGCGCATGGAAAGGATAGGGAGCAAAGGTGTCTCCTACAGGCTCAGTCAGGTATTACTGAATACTGCAATCTTCCTAAATGAGGCTGGTCTCTCCTGCACTGTTCTGTGTCTAGCATTGGAGGCTGCAGTGGGCATGTGTGAACAAGGCTTCCTGATGTGTCAGCTATCAGTCCCTGTATTTCCATGTTCCCCTTAGGAGTGTGGTGAGGGGAGGGAGGGAACTGCTGCTTTGACCTTGCATTTTGGCTCTTTTTCCCCACTGTTGTTGTGTGTGTTTTTTATTCTCTTTGCACGTGTCTCTAGTTGATCTTGAAAAGAAGGGACAGTTAAAGAAGACGTTAAGGTGAAATGAAGCCATAACTGCGACTGGAGACTTTTATTAAGTGTGGCAAAGTTCCCTGGGCTGCGTAGAAATTGTTTATTGATTTTGGTATGGCTGGGTGCTCTGGAGTAATCGCCCGCAGAACCGCTAGAGAGAGAGCATGGAGAGGAGAGTGCTTTGCCTGGTCTCTGTTGCCTCCTGCCCCCAGCTGCTCTTCCTCTTCCCTGTGCTGGTAGTCTCCTCTTTAACCTGTAAGTGAGCAGCCACAGCTGGTTAACCCTTGTGGTGCCCGGCTCCTGCAGCTTGGCACTTCCCTACTGCTTTAGAAATGCCAAGTGAAGAAATAGTGGGGAAGCAGATGGCTTTGAAGTGTGTATCATACAAACAGGTACAGTGTTCGTGAGACTTAAACTGCCCTTTGGCTCTTCCACCTGTTGGTTGTTTCAGGCAGGAACCTGTCTCTAATGGTCAGCCAGGTTAGTTGTCTCTGAGCCTGGTTAACCAGGGGCAAGTCAGTTCTGTGACAGGGCAGAGATGACCATACTCATGTATCTCACATGTGCCTGTGAGAGGATTTGGCCTGGTATCCCCTGTTTGCTCTCACACACATCAAAACTGCAGAGTGTTAGGGAAGTGTTAAATGACTCTGTGCACTGAGCCAGCCTACTTCTCCTGCGCTTGTCTGTAAGCCTAGAAGAACTTCAAAGCATGATTTTCTTCTGCTTTTTGTAACAGCATTAGGGTGGCTGTTGTCTGGAGCATCAGAGACAGATCCCAGCCTTTTTCGCTGTGATCCAGGAACCCTCCTCATATAAAGCCTTTTCACAACCCACCTGGGGAATTCTGCACCACCATCCTGGCAGAGGTGGGTTCCTGCTGTGTTCCCTTCCCGAGGAGGTGCTGCATACGTCTCCCTGCTACACTACTTCTTTTGCGCAAAGGCAGTTAGTTCCTTTGTTGTTTCTCTTCTAAACAGCACTATGACTAAAATATGCTCCTAAAATACACTGGCCCTTCAGTTCCAAGGAGGAAATGGAGAGGGAAGCAATTTTATTGGCATTTGATTCGGTAAATGAGAGAATCTTTTGACATATATGGCACAATTCATGATACTCCTTCTTTTATAGCCAAGGTGCTGGTAATAAGTGAGATGTTTTATTTTCTCTTTCCATCATTCAGAGTGCTTATTTCCAACCTTCTAGTAACATAGGTTGGTTTAATCGCCTTCCTTCTACAGAAGACTTTAGAGGCCTGCAATAGTGTGGTCATTAGGTGAGTGATGTAAATCTCTGTGTGGAGAGAGAAAGGGGATGTGTTCACTTTTTAAGGCCCCCTTAGAACCTGCTGAAGTTTAGTATGAGTGTCAGAATCTCTAGCGTTAGAGGGAGGTGAAATAACAAACTAGCACCATTTGTCATCTAGTCTGAGTTAACAAACTACTGAGTAGCAAACTACTACTGGAGTGGGATCATGAAGCCAGAGTAAAGGTAAGCACCTGTTTTGCATCATTGGGCAAAATTTTCAGATGATCTTGCTATAAAGATCTTTTTTCTGCTTTGCGTGTACGTTATGTTTTCTTAATGAAAAAGCCAAGGAAATGTGTATTAGTTTGAATTTAATTTTCTACAGGCCATAGTGTTAATGGAAGGCAAAATATCTCTGAAGTGTTGGCAGTTTAACTCCTGTATAAAAGGTCTTGAAGTGGGATAAAAAAATTTGCATCCACCTAGGGAATTCTCTGACAAAAATGACACATGAACATTAGCGCTAGGAACAGCACTAACAACTTCAACTCTGATCATTTTGATTTTTTTATCCTTGTAATAAAGTTCAAAATTTTGACTTACTGTGGAATATGGATAATGAATTATGCTGATATTGGTCTATGTACTTTGGCTAGAAGGTGTGAATGCTGTAATAGAATCTGCACCAGTGTACTGGTACTTCAAAGCATATACTGTGTATGTACATCACGTAAACTTTTGTAATGCTTAGTTGCTTGAATGAACTAAGACGACTGATTTATAGTCTCTCTCTCTCCCTCTCCTTCTTCCTCTCCCTCTCTCTCTCTCTTAAAAAAAAAAAAAAAGGGCGAGGGGGAGGGGGGAAGTCTTTTAGTTAAAGCTGTAAAACCTCCTCTTGTGGCTTGAGTTCCCTGACTGCAAGTTCCTTCTGGTGAATGGTGTAGCTTACTTCTCCTGTTGCATGTGTCAGAGATTTTGAGCCCCCACCCTTGGGAAGAAGAGGCAGGCTCTAAATTCCTTAGTCTAGCACCTCAGACTGAAGGAGTTATTTTTAACCTGCCTTGACCTCTGCTTGAGCAAGAATAAAATAGGGAGTGGGCGGAATATGACACAAATCAATAGGTTATCCCAATAGATGTGATCTTTGGCACCGTTTTGCTTTGGACACTTGCTGCTGTAACAAAGATAAATGGTGATTTGTTAACATTGTGATCTAGGGACTGAGTGGCTCACTGGATCGTGTGGTGACCTCTGACCTCTGAGGCTCCAAGCTCTGAACACCAAGATGAAATCTCATTCTGATAGTAGGAAGGTAAAAAAAAGGTCCACAAGGGTTGGGTGATTTTAGTTCAGTGCTAATCCTAGTACTCCACACAAAGCAAACTACTATGGCTGTATAGGCTGGAAAAATCTGTATGGTACCAGTCTTTTCCAACAAGGCCTGAGTAGACAATACCTCTTGACAAAAAAGGAGTGTAAGAAACAGAGCAGGAACTGTAGCAATAGAGAGGTAGCAATCAGCGGCTGTGGGCTAAGCCTCACAGCGCCTTTATGGGGTGGCACTGAAGCACTCAAAGCAGTTTTGTCTCTCAGCCTACCTATCAAACAAGACTTGTGCTGGGGATAATTTATGTTAGCTCTCAGCAAAAGCAATTAGTTTTATAAAAGCAGCTTGCATTTTACTTTTTGAGAGAGTTTCTGCATTTCTTTTGTCTCTTGATTTATTACTGAAGGATAGTGATGTGGGTCTTTCTGGGGAGCTGAGCTATTGGAAATAGCATACAACTAGGATAGCTGTAAGCCATTCATTCTCTGCTGACCTTGTATAATCTATCCCATATCTCCACAGAGTCCTGTTGCAGGACCTCTGAAGGTAGCTGACTTTTTAGCAAGTTCTCAGATGCGCACAACTGATCTGGCTTCAGCAGTCCATGATGGTGTATTCTCCTTGGTATGCAGACAAACTCCTGCAAGAGAGGCTCCTCCAGGACTTCTACAAGCATTGGTAAGCAGAAGTGAAAGAGTTTCCATCGCTGTCCCTCCCTGTGTACCTCTTACAGGTGAAGAATATCCGTGGGGAGTTCATTGATTCACTGTCACTAGGACCAGCAGAATCTACCAAAAGGTCCCATAGGGACTGACCTCCCATATATGTGGCCTGCTACTCCTCTCAGAAATGGGATTTGAGCAGAATTTTTCATCCACGGGTCACAGCTCTGCAATAAGGGCTCCTGTTGAGGTAGTTACATGGTAGCGCTAAAGTGCTTCCCTGAGCCCCTGCTTTCAAAAATACTCTTCCATGTTGTAATGAATTTTGTGTTAATGGGCCTAAGCCACAGTGAGCTCTTACCTCCCTTGGCTCTTGTGTAATTCCCTTTGTCATGAGGAGGCAATATCTAATTTTGGTCCTGGATCAAGTTATGTTTCTGCCTGCAAGACTGGCACCCTGCCCTCACGTGCTTTTCCATGGTAAGTATCTTATTCCCAGCAAGGGAGCTTCAAGCTTATGCCCATTGTGGGGCAGGGGATCTAGTAATTGCCTTACTGATGCGTGCAAGGAGCTTACCTATTACTCTTAATCTTTCCCATGTTGTAGATCCACAGTGATAGCAAAATGGTTGGTCATGAATGTTAAGGCCTCCACACTGGGTGTGGAGTAACACCTAAACTGGCTGTGGCTGTAGGCCTTGGTATGGATGTCCAACTATGCTGTGCTAGCATTGCTGTCTTTACCTACCAGGCCTGTCATCCTGTCAAAAAAAGGAAAAGAAAGAAGAGAGAGCTGGGAAGAGAAGCTAGCAGCCTAACAAGACCTACTTTCCATTATATTTTTAGCCTCTCTTATTTTTCCCAGAATAATTCTGAATTAACTGTTTCATTGTTTTGTCCAGGCTGAGATCAGGCTAACTGATCTAGAGTTCCCTGCCAGTATCTCTATTGTCCTTTTCGGAATACAGGAGTTTCTCTGCTACTTCTTCAGCCTTTCCTCAAGTTTAATTGGATTTGTTAAAAAATGTAACAAATGAGATCACTGGAGATCACTTGCAGGCTCTTGGTATAAGTTATCCAGGCCTTCTGATGGGAAGCTTTGACTTTTAACAGATATATCCCCATGTTTCCCTTGACTGTAGAGAGTAAAGGTTCTCCTCCACTGTAAGGCATATAGGATGAACCATCTTGTTCCTTTCTGTATCAGAAAAGAATTACTGGCTGGCTAGAGATTTCTGCCATCTCTCCAGTTATCCAGGCCTAGACAGGGACATCTTTCCCACCTTAATGTTTAGTTTTATGAGGATGCAGCTCTGTATGTGTTATTGGGAAATAGCCATTTTTTTTTGTTTTAAGATGTAATGACTGAGGAACAATAAACTGCCCCAACCTTTTTGTGATGCAGCACTGCTCGATATCCGCTTTGTTTACCTCTCTGGACATAGCTCTGAGTGTTTGTTGGTTCAAATTTTCTATTGGGTTTTATTCTGAAGGAATTAGCTTCTCATGGAGAGATACCGGGAAAGTTGATACTTCTACAGCACACTGAATTCAGAGCTCTCTGCTGTCATGAGCAAACTAGTCAGTGGTACCTCTGAGAAGCCAGGAGCCATTCTTGCACTGATGCTAAAAAAGAAAACCCCTGATGTCTCTGGCAGTGGCTTGGCTCAGGCTTTTACCTACAGCACATATGAGTAACTTTCTTTTCCTTCTGAGAGGTGCTGGCCCATCTTTCACATGTGCTGCGAGGAGAACTGTTATGCAGAGGCAGTAGTTGCAGAGCAGATGGGAAGGGGTTACATGGTGCTGTGGTTTCTGTATCTGCTTCCTGTACTCTAGGAATATCTCTGCAAGAAATGAATGTCTCCTGCAGTCTGTTTGTAGAATCACCGAATTGCAGACTAATTCAGATTGGAAGAGACCTCAGGAGAGGTCTGGTCCAACCCTTTGCTTAAAGCAGGGTTGGCACCGAGTTCAGATGAGGTCGCTCAGGGCTTTATCCAGTCAGATCTTGAAAACCTGCACAGGCAGTGACTGCACAGCCTCTCTGGGCAGCCTGGTCAAATGCTTGGCAGTCCTCCTGCTGGAAAAATTTTTCCTTGTATCCAGTCTGAAACTCTCATTTTTCAGTGTATATCCAATGTGTCTTACTGTTCCACCATGTACCACTGTAAAGAGCCTGGCTCTGTCATCTTGATAAGCTCCTTGTAGGTATCGAAAGACTGCCAATGTGTCCCTCCAAAGCTTGCTCTTCTCCAGGCTAAACAAGCCCAGTTCCCTCAGCCTCTCCTCAGAGGACGAGTGCTCCAGGCTCCTAACCCTCTTGGTCACCCTCTGTTTAATTTGCTCCAGTTTATCCATATCTTCATATTCCATGAAGTGAAGGGCTCAGACACAGGGGAGTAGAAGTGGGATTTCAGAGTTGTGATTTAATCCACATATGCTAGTGGAGAGGTGGGATGGAGCAGGGGGACTCTCAGCTGCAACACTGAAGTATGGGGAGCATGCCACAGGTAGGCAGGTCCTGGGAGAGCTTGGTGAGTTTTATCATGAGCTAGCCTTCAAACAGTGGCTGATGGGGTTAGGAGTTTGCTACTTGCTCCCTTACAACAGGCTCTAGGAAAGCAAGTTTATTTTACTGAAAATAAGATCTGTGAAGGATTAGATCCAGCATGTTTGAAGCCCTTTCCATGCAGCTCTGTGCAGTGTCACTCTGCCCCTCACTGAGGGAGATCTGCTGTCACAGAATCAGAGGATGGGTGAAGTTGGAAGGGACTTCTGGAGATCATCTAGTCCAAGCCCCTGCTCAAGCAGGGTCGCCTAGAGCACATTGCCCAGGGTTGTGTCCAGATGGCTTTTGAATATCTCCAGAGAAGGAGACTCCACAACCTCTCTGGGTAACCTATTCCAGTGCTCTGTCACCCTCACAGGAAAGAAATTTTTCCCTCATGTTCAGACAGACGTTCCTGTGTTTCAGTTTGTACCCGTTGCCTCTCATCCTATTGCTGGGCACCATGGAGAAGAGCCTGGCCCCATCCTCTTGACGCTCTCCTTTCAGATACTTTTGCACATTGATCAGATCCCCCCTCAGTCTTCTCTTCTCCAGACTGAACAGGCCCAGCTCTCTCAGCCTTTCCTCATGAGAGATGCTTCAGTCCCTTAATTATCTCAGTAGCCCTCTGCTGGACTTGCTCCAGGAGTTCCATGTCTCTCTTGTCCTGGGGAGCCCAGAATTGGACACAGTACTCCAGGTGAGGCCTCAGCAGGGCTGAGTAAAGGGGGAGGGTTACCTCCCTGTCATGCTTGGGCCTCTGCCCTCAGGTCTGCTCTGACTCTCTCCTCTTCCTTCAGGAGGAAGTGGACCAGTGTTGCAAGCCAGCAAATGTCATGCATATTGGACAGACACATTCACCCTGCCTTCTCCCTTGAGAGAAACTCAGATTCAAATAACCTTTTTTTTTGGTTTTTTTTTTTTGGTTTTTTTTTTTGCAGGCCCCTGAGTGGCCAAGAAGGAGCATCAGTCTCATTCCTCTTGAGATATATCTGTCGGCATTGTGATTAATGATCCACAGGCAGCTCAAGCACAGCAATTGTAACCGAAGCTGCAAAGTTCCTCTGGATGTTGAGAGCTTTTTGCAGCTACTTCCTTCTTGCAAGAAGTCTGGAGAGATAATTCCCTCTTTGGCAGGGCAGGGACATGGGAGATAAGGATAAGAGAGCGAAAGAGGTGGCCACTAGGAGTGCCTCTTTTGTTCTGCAGCTGGCCCCAGAGCAAGAAGGCAGGTTTCAGCCCGGTGTCAGATACTGCTTTGTTTTGTCAGCTCACCTGTCAGTGCAGCGGCCTCAGGTGAGTAAAGGAGCTCTACTCACTCAGAATCTGTCCTCTCTCTAGTGCTTTCCCAGAAGAAAAGATTTGCATGTGCTCCTTCCTGACAATGGAGATGTTTGGCAATGATGGGTATTTGGGGCAGAATGAGCCCCTTATGTCCACTGGCATGCCTGCATGTGCAAATGCAAATACCTTCAGCTTCTGCAGATGTTCTTATGTAAAAAGCCTGAGCTCTTCTGCACATACCATTTTTTTCTGTAGTCCCAGCTTTTGTGGTAAGCCATCTGCCTGTCTCCTTCAGGAGCAATGTCCTCAAGGGAGGCTGGAAGTCTGGCATATGGGTAGCTGAGTGGAAGTGTTGGGATTCCTGCAGTGGAGTTATTTCCTTGGAAACTGAGATGGAAAAGACTGAGTAAGGAATGCGGATCAGACAATGACATCTGTGAAGAGCAGATATCAGGACAGTGTGGTGAACAAACCAGGCTAGGCAAGTGCTCTTGGCTTTCAGTTGCTATTGCTTACCAAAGAAAAGGGGGATGGATATTTCACAAGTATCTGAATGCTGGTGAAGCATTGGATTCTGCCATATGAAATCCCAATAGCAGTGTTTGTTTACTCTGCAGATAGGAGGGTGAATGGGGACTTAAAACTGATCAAAGGATGATGGTGATCATAAGAGTCATGTAAATTTGAAAGATGATAAAGAAAGATTTGGTCTTCACCATTAAAAACCCAGTGCATAATACCCTGAAATGGCCAGTGAGGTGGCACAAAGATCAGCCTTCAGCCTAGTATGATTAATCCTTTTCATTAGATATATGGAAGAGGAGATGAACAGACCATTAATTAAGTCTGCAGAGGATAGTAAATTGGGAGCACTGCAACCAGTGACTACAGTGTGGTGATGCAGAGGGATTTGGAAATTAGAAACAGGACAGGAAGTAAAGGTCCCTACAGGACATTTGTCAGGACAAATGCAAGTGAGAGAAAATGGACTGAACGTGATACATGGTGAGGAGAAGCCTAAACGAGCATAGTGCCAGAAGAAGGTCCAGTCATATGAGGGTATTCGTTTGGTGCCTGGAGATTGATAAGGTGATGTCCTTTGGGAAATCCTAGGACTATATGCCTTAAAGAGGGAAATGAGTCTGACTTGGTGTTTGCAGGAGTCAGTAGAAAGGCTCCCAGAGGCTCCAGTGAGGTTTGGGTTTGTCCTGTGGACTCTGTCTGACTAGCGATGGATGGGCCAGTGAGAGAGTGGCCAGAAGGACTATGCACACCTGGCTAAGGCAATGGGCATGCTTTGGAGCAGGGGACTTCTGTCCTCTGTAAGGGGCTGCACCTTTAGAGTGACCTCAGGGCAATGTAATCACCCCACAGTGTCAGAGGGGATCCGAATGGGGGCGGGGGTGGGAGCAGAAGGATTTTGCTGCAGTCCAGGAGGAGGAAAATTGCAGCAGAGAAAATGAGTGGAATCAGTAACCAAGTTTTCCATAGTAAGGCTGCTATAGCTTTCTCCAGTTCTCCCCTCCAGCATCTCCAGAGATGTTGCTTGAGCATGGCCATCCTGATTGTCACCAATCCAGGGGAAATTTGTGGTGGAGAAGCTGAGGCACAGGGAAGTGATGAGTTTGATGCCATGGAGGTGTTGATATGAGAGAGCCAGGATCAGTACTGGGAGTCCCAGACTGTTGTTGTGACTTTAGATTCTTGCTTCCTGTGTTTTGTCCGTTTAGCATTTGTGAGACAAAGGGAACACTAGGGGTCTTGGAGGTTATTATTCTTCCTTTGTGCTACTGGAGAATCTGCCTCATTGTCAGCCTAAATTGCATTGGCCGGTTGCTGCAGGTTATGCTTCCTTATGCCCCTGATATTCCTGTTCAGCACTGGCCGGTTGCTGCAGGTTATGCTTTCTTATGCCCCTGTTATTCCTGTTCAGCAGGGACATGTGATAAACGTCGTCCCGCCCCGTCCTGCCCCCAGGTAGAAATGATGCCTACAGCTTTGAATAGTGAGAAGAATCTGAAAATCCATCCCTCAAGGAGATGGTCTGTGTGTGTCTCACTCAGCCATGCAAGATAGATGCTATCCCATGAGTGCTATTGGGGGTTTTCCAGCAAGCAGGGTTGTGGATGCCCCCAGAGGTGCTAACTGCAGAGATGAAGTCTCTATACAGCCTTTGAAGTGCTCAGGTGAGGCTGGCAGAGGCTGGGGGAAAGTGAAAGCACTTTTCTCTGGGTGAGCTTGTACTGTGCATCACACCAGTCTGGAGAGGTTTTACTGTGCCCACCCCATCCTAAATGGAGGAAGGATAAGGTGTGAAGGGAGAAGGTTAAAGTAAATGTAGGTCAAAGCTATTTTTCAGGGTACCATTGATCCTGACAGACTCAGAACTGCTTTTACAATAAACTCTGAATGAGGCACTGCTACTAAATCCAGCCAGTGTTTGAGTCTGCCCAAACATAGGAGCTGGCTGGTCCTGGGCTGTGACATTGTATGGGAAACGCTGTGTGCAGGAGGGGGGATCTCAGTGCAGGTGGGATGCCGGTCTGTACAGGTCAGGGAAGGGTGAGGCAGAGCTGGGAATTATAAGAAGGGAAGGAAGCTTATGATTTTTCCCTTTGATGGCTTTTTGTACCCTGTAGTGCTTTCCCGCCTGACCTCTGCAAGCTGGGTTCACATGGCCAGCGTAATTGTTCTGCCTTTGGGTAACGAGGCGGACTTATCTTGCTGCAGCCTCTGAAGTCCACATCTAGGCAGAGAAGGGAGGACTAAAGAGAAGAAGGTTTGAGGGAGTTATACCCAAAGGAGCCATCTTGCACTTGAAAAAAACTGAATGGCAGGGTAAGATGTGGAAGTGTGGAAGTTACCAGACTGGTTCACACCAGTTATCTGCCTGCTCCTGCATCCTTTATCACACGATGGTTGATATGAGATGCTCCAGGAGAGTCAATTTGGGAGCATGGAGTATGGAAGACAAGTTTTCTCTATCCTTGCTGGTTTGAGCTTGACTTCAGCCTCCAACTATTGGTATTCTTTACCTTTTCTCCTAGAAGGTTGTCTATCTGGTCTTGCCTTAGCCATAAGCTGTTTCTATAGGACCTGTAGAGGGGATGGAAACAGCTGTTATGTCAGCACACAAAGTCTAAAGCCAATTTAGTTGCCACCCAATTTATCCATATAGCCTATGGGAGACTCCCGTCACTGCATCCCATCAGTGGTGTGGGACTGGATGCACCATCAGTCTTGGGTGTTCAGAGTCCTACCAGCTTAGGAGCTTTGGGTGAAGTATGGCACCACATGCTGCAGGTTTTAACTTGGTCTCTGACTGTCAGGAGTTAGGATGATAATTTTATGGGAAAATTATTATTATTTTTATATATGTCTGATCCTGTTTTTAATACAGCTTAATCTCTGTCTTCAATGCTACCTGGTAGGGGTGAGTTCCATGACTTAATTTGCTTCGTATATTCCAACTAAAGACTTGCTTTTCATTTTCATTGAATGCTATGCCATGCTTCTATTACAGGGAAGCATGTTATGGCAGTTTCTCCAGGCACTTTCATCTCCCAGCTTTGCACTCCTGTTTTTGTTCTCTTCTTCCAGAAGATGTCCAGAGCTAACCAGCCTGGGGTAGCTCTCCTTGAGGGCACAGCTCCCATATGCTGTTATGGTCATATATGGGGGAGGGAAAAGAGTTCTGTAGGGCAGAGAGATGCTTTCCCTAACAGGTAACTCCAGCATACAGAGATTTAGTGCTACTGTAGAGCACAGAGCTTAGGAACAAAAATTCCTATCTATTATCACTTAGTATTTCTGTGTTAAAATGTGTATTTCTGTGTTTCTGTGGGGAGTATCTGTGTTTTGTTTTGTTTTTTTTTTGTGGCCAGTGTTACAGAGCAAAAGGTCGTTTTCATTGAACTGTTTGCATTTCCTGTATTCATTTGGAAATTCCAACCCTATGGAAGCACTGTATGAGTGCAGTCTGCACTGCCTGGCTTTGGCTGACACTGGATTTCACCCAGAATCGTCTGCTCTTTTATCCAGCTTTGTTAAATTATTCCGAGGCTCTTCTCAGTCCACTGCTATCTTGATTAACTTAAACTAGACTGTCTTCTGCAGACTTCTCCCTACCCACTGTACTTTTCAGGTTCCATATCACTCATAACATAATATATCTCAGTAGTCCTAGCATAGACTCTGGTGCAACTGAACTTTTAAGCTGTTCTTGTTCTAGTCAGAACAGTTGACTAGCTGTTCATTCCTTACAGATATTTTCAGTTTCATACAATTTCTCATTTGTGACAGATCTCTCACTCCACAAATGCTGGTTTCCAAGAGTCTGCTGGAAGAAGAGCATTATCTGGATGTCCAGATTGTCAGCTGGTTCTCCCCCCACACAGAGGTACCTTCCAAGAAGTCCACTGAGTCTAGGCAAAGGAGCAACTCCAGTTACAGAGAGAGAGACTTGGCTTAATTGCTAGTTGTAAATTGGGCTCATAATCATAACTCTAGCATGCACAGGCATGGGGATCAAGCTCTTGAATGAGGGATTAATGGAGATGTACTTCAGTGTGGCCTTTCACTCTTCCCACACATCCCTCATGGGTGAGCTCGGTCTTTTGTGCTAGGGACATACCCAGGCACTCACTGGGAAAGCCATGAGCCAAGCTCATGAGCCAGCATAAAGAGATGTTTAGATGCCCTGACTCCAGATATATTCTCACAGGCCACTGCAGTCCCCACCCATATGGAGGATATGACACTGGGTGGTTATTGGAGCTAATTGCCTTTTCACTCTTCCCCCTTGAAGAGTCTCCTTTGGGCTAATTTCTAAGAGAGGAAAAACTGGCAGTGAGGAATTAGTAGGAGGTTGGTTTTGTGGGAGACTTTAGTCCTGAGAAATCTTTGTAGAACTGAGGTTTCTCTGGGACTTTGTGGAAAGATGCACTTGCTGCAGGAGTTAGGATGATAATTTTATGGGAAAATTATTATTATTTTTATATATGTCTGATCCT